TAAAATATGAAATCTATACTTATTGATGATTTGCAATTATGTCACAGCGTATCTTTATGGTACCTGGATCTTTTAATAGCTTATAGCAAGAAATAAAGTTCTGTATCGGCAGCTCAACCTTTGTATTGTTGTTAAAATCAAAAAAAAGTTCTTGATGTACGAGTAAACCGGAGTATGTTTGATTTATTTTTCAAGCATCGCCAGTGATTATGGAATTAAGTAATGTCATATACTATGTTATACAGCTGTAAATTTCTCTACTACAGCAGTATCCAGTTTTTTATGGTGAATTGTTATACGATTTCGTTTATGCTTCTCTTCAATAGCCTTTATTGTCAAAAAAGAGTATAATCTAGGCATGGTTGTTCTGCATTTGTCAAACGACATATTCTTGGCTTATGAGTTTTATTATAACATGTAACTTTTGATTGTTCATTGTCATTTTATGAAGCGTGAGCGAGCAACGAATATCACCTGAGAAAAGAAAATATTTATTCTGGTAATAAAAATAGAAATGAAGATCAGACGACAAATAGAGATTAAACTTTAAAGTTTTTTTAATGCTTCTTATTTTCCCCCGTTTTACTCTAAGATCAACATGTCCGTATTAAACAGAGTAAGTAATAGCTATAACTCGTATACCGACCTTTTTTCAAAACTGGAGTCGTAATGGAAATGATCGAAACATTTTAGCAGTCCGCTTCTAGCAAAATTACTGGTTCCGTTCCTGAAGGAAAATTGCGAACGTTTTAGCATATAGTCGTTTTTCGCTTTTTTAGTAAAGTTTAGGTCTGCAGAACCACAAACACTTCTTAATAGTTCTCTCAACGAACAGTATCAACAGACTTCTTCTAATGGTTATCGGTCACGTATAACTTTTTCTATTGGATTAAGTATTCTTCTGTTTGTTTCAGTTAAAATTTTGGGATGGTAATTCAGTTCAAATAGCACCTCCCACAACTACTACCGTAATATTCAAATACATTCACAGTTATCCATATCCCGTCTCTCTTATGTATTTCGTAGAGCAGTCAATTTAACAGCAAGGGAGAGAAAAAGAAAGAACAATGGGATCGTCCAGCTGAGTTTGTTCTTTCGTTGATTAGTAACAGTGTTGGTCTAGGAAATGTTTGGCGTTTTCCGTATTTAGCATATAAAAGTGGTGGCGGAGCATTTCTCATTCCATACTTTACTTTGTATATCCTTATAGGATTACCATTATATGTAAGTCTGGTGTGTCATTTTTCAATAGATGGGTCTCTCTGTTCTATTCTTTAGTACTTAGAGTTGGCATTGGGACAATTTAGTAGTCAAGGTCCGCCTCGGTCATATAATTTGGTCAGAGGATCACCCGGTGAGAAATAAGAGGGCATGCCCATTCCAACAAATGTTACTTTTCCGTTCTCATTCATCTTTTTCAAAGGCATTGGCATAGCAATGGTAATCAATTCAATAATAACAAATTGCTTTTACAATGTAATAATAAGTTGGTCGATGTTGTATTTCATATTATCATTTCGAAGGACTCTCCTGTGGAGTCGATGCGACGCAGACTGGAATACACCGAGTTGTGTTGAACCGTGTATGTTGCTCTCTTTTATTGCCAGTTTAAGTGATAAGCTACATTTTCTTGTTTCAGCTGCGGCGAATATGAATATAACAAATGGAACGTCGGGAGCTCAAGAGTTTTTTTTGTAAGGAATACAATCACAGAGTTATTGAAGCTCAAAAACAATTTATTTATTATTGTGTGATTTATTATTTTATATTCTAGCAATTTTGTTTTACATAAAAGTAATGGTTTTCACGAATTTGGTACACCTGTGAGGTGGATAACATTATGTTTGCTGCTAGCATGGATTATTATTGCATGTTGCATTATTCGGGGTGTTAAATCAACAGGAAAAGTATGTAGTTTTTAGATGTAATAATTACATCGAGTTTTATTTCATACACTTGGTAAGCTGGTATGAGACGAGAGTCAGTTAGATATAGAGATACCAGTCACGTCATGTACGCGTAGTGGGTTTCAGACTCACATGTACTGCAACAAAGTCTTATTTACAGAAATTTGGTCTGTCTACTTTTTCTCTTATTAGGTTGTCTATTTTACAGCCATATTTCCGTATATTGTTCTGCTAATTTTATTGATTCGAGCAGCGACGTTCGAAGGAGCCGTAACGGGTATAAAATATTATGTCACTCCAGACTGGTCAAAAGTCAGGGATTTTCAAGTAAGGTCACTTAACATTACAAAGAATTTTTGGTTTTATATCGCAAGATTATTTTTAGGTATGGCGTGATGCAGCTGGACAAGTGTTCTTTTCACTGAGTGTCGGATTTGGTGCACTGGTAGCTTACAGCAGTTCAAACAAGTTTAAAAATAATTTTTTCTAGTAAATAGATATATCTTCGGACCGCTTCGTTTTTAATAATGCCAGAAAAATGCGTGTATTTCTTTAGTCAATGTGTTTTGGTTGTCAGTTGTGATTGTCTGACCGGTGTTTTTGCCGGTTTTACTGTTTTTGCAACAATAGGCTTTTTGGCTGTTAAACTGAAAGGCGGTGATATAGAACGAGCAGCAGCTGGTGGACCAGGTTTAGCATTTGTTGTTTATCCAGAAGCTCTGTCGCAAATGCCCGCCGCACCCGTGTTTTCCATACTTTTCTTTTTGATGTTGTTGGCCCTTGGACTTGGTTCTCAGGTACGCAAGAGTCATAAAACATGAAGTGTATCTATTGGCTGTATTTTCGTTCATTAGTTTGGTGGAGCTGATGTTATTGTTACAGCCATATTACAGTTTTATCCAAAGTTAAAACGATGGATGGTTGTTATTACTGTTTGCGCTGTATCGTTTTTACTGAGCTTGCCGTTTGTCTGTAACGTAAGTAATGGGGATTAGCTTAACAGTTGTCCAATAGCTAAATATTTTATCCTTCTTGGCAGGGTGGTATTTTTCTGTTTGATTTGGTCTCAGAATATGCCGCTAATACGTCATTAATCGTCATTGGTTTCTTCGAAGTTTTGACCGTTGCGTACATTTATGGTAAGAAAAGAAGAAGAAGTAGCTCTTGGCATACGAGAACCAGTAAAGCCTAAATACAGGATATAGTGAGCTCAAAGTGCCATACCACCTGATTTCGATGTTTATCGAAAGTTCCTGTGACTTCAATCCCATAAAACATCAACACAATACCAAACCTAACTCTGACCCTCACCCAATACCTAAGTCTAGACTTGGGTATTGGGTTTGGATCAGAGTTGGGTTTGCTATTGTGTTGGACTTGGGTTAATAAGAGCCAAGCAAGATGCTTTATTTCTTGATAGTCCATGTGCGAACAGAATATGCAGTGTTTTGTTTCGTCCTATGGATATATGCGTGCAATGCGGTAACGATAACAATTTTCTTTAAATTAGGTGAAATGTCTAAAAAAGTTGAGGTTCCCAATCCAAGTCTATACACCCAAGTAACTTGGGTTTGTGTAGCAAAAGCGAATTTCGAAAAAGCGAGTTTTTTCAAGCGAGTTTTTCTGAGGATCTTTAGAAAACTAGCCTGGATTTTTCGAAACTCACATAGGAATGTATTGATTTTTTCTCATGCGCTGATAGCTCGAGGTGTTCTCTTCAAAATCGGAGTAGAGCGAGACCTCCATTTTCTGCAGTTCGGGCGTTGTACGGATTTCCGACGAGTCTCAGGACTGGCACCCGGTGACTCTTGGTAGCGTTAAATGTGGATGGACTATGTATAATCGATCATGCTGAGTCTCGTGGCACTATTTTTGTTTTCAGAAAAAGTTCCAAGAATCTATCGGAAAACCAGTTTTACGAAAACTAGTGTTTTCAGGCTGTTTAACCTAATATTAAAAAATTCACTATTCACTCAGAAAACCAAGAGTCACCGGGTGTGAGACTCGTCGGAAGTCCGTACAACGCCCGAACCGCAGAAAATGGAGGTCTCGCTCTACTCCGATTTTGAAGAGAACACCTCGAGCTATCAGCGCATGAGAAAAAATCAATACATTCCTATGTGAGTTTCGAAAAATCCAAGCTAGTTTTCTAAAGATCCTCAGAAAAACTCGCTTGAGGAGCTTTTCGAAATTCGCTTGCTTACAGAACTATGTGATCAGATGTCTAATTTTCAAACCTGAGAACCGCAGATCTCTATCTCATTTCTGTGAGAAGTTATTCGAAAAATATCCGAGACCATTACATTTTGAAACCCATAGTAGAACTATGCCTAGCAACTAAAATGTTTTGTAGGCCAGAGAGTGCCAAAAACTATTTATTTATTTTTTGAATTTCAAAGCTGGACTCTGTTTGCATCTCCTAGAACACTCATGTTTTGTCTGCGACTGCAAAGGATGATTAAACCACATAGGGACTACATATTTCCTCAGTGGACATTGGGTGTGGGTTGGACAATCTTTGCTATTTGTACGTTTACGATCCCAGCTTATTATATTTATCAATATATATTGTCATATCTTTATCTGATGAAAAATCCAATTCCAGCTCAACTTGTAAGTCGGCCTGTGGTTTTAGCTAATTTTTGGTTCGTAGTGATAGAAATGATCACACTTTTATGGCTCTTAAATGTTCCTTTATAAGAGATTTTTAGTTTTCTCTAAGCTTTGAGATGTTTAAAGTATTCAATAGGCGATCAAGAAGATGAGAAACCGAACTCTCTCAAAAGAACCTGTGTGATCCATCGTTTAATCTCAAATCCGAAAATGAGAACCATGCAAAAAGTTTATAGGCTAACAATTGAAAGACACATATGGCGCGCTTGCCGTTCAATCGGCAAAACTGAAATTTTTATAGTTAAGAGCGCCTAATCGAACCTCTAGCGCTGTTACTAGTTAGGTCTAATCGTTATGTTGGTTAAAGAATAGTAACCAGCCAATGGATGGCATGGATGTGTAACGAAATCTCAGCGCCATACACACTTCTTGAGTGAATCTAACCATCCACACTGCTCTAGAAGGTGAATTCTGCCCAAAAAGTTCTTGTTGTGTGTTTTTTTGTTTAGATGACTACGACGAAAGGCGAAATGACGGAGACTGACGAAACTCCTCGATATATTCTAGCATTTCGTTTGACGAATTCACCAGATACTCATTGGGGTCCAGAAGATAATGAAAATCGTACTGGTGCTCGCTATCCACAAATACTGCAACCACCAGTCACCGCACCATATGAGCTTGTGATTGGTGTACAAAATCCAACATTCCAAACAGATTTTTAACAGTTCATTAATTTTATTTGTAGTTTAGTCTAACAAAAAAAATTTCTTTTTTTCACAACATAGAGAAAAAAGAATTTATTTAGCGACTTGACCAAACGTTACGGAGTTTCATTTTTTCGTCTTTTATGCCCCTTATCTCGGCAAAGAAGTAACGTTTATCAATAAAATTTGTACCAGTGATGGATATTAGGGAGTTCTACTACCAAAAATAGTTTGAGCTTGTCTGTACAAGCGGATCGAAAGTTATAGTCAAAATAGAGGCCGTTACGAAATTTCAAAAAATGAACGTGTTTTTTCGGGATAG